CTCCTCCCTCTCCTCCTCCTCCTCCTCCTCCTCCTCCTCCTCATCCCCCCAACATTCCTATGGCCCCGCCGGGAGATGTTCTTAGAACAACACCGGCGACGAGCACGAGGGGGAGGTCAGAAGGGGCGGGCCTTCGCAGAAGGCTCGGGAGGCCTCTGACCTTGAGAGGCATGTCCGATGCCATCCCCCCCAAGACACAGGAAACTTCTCAGAAGGCCAGAGGATTTCTCCTTCTGGGGAGGCCTGTTCCTTCTCACTTCCCCCTTGGCCGCGCCACCGACAAAATCATGTTCTGAAAAGAACAACTATGCTCTTAGAGAACGAGGCCGAGCGATTGAAGCAAGTCCGTCTCAGCCAGAATGCTCTAACAATGACTCATGCAGACCACAATTTATGCTTATGAGTATCGTATAACCGATCCCTATCCCGACAGGCGTGGCCTGGGCCCCACTGGTCAATTGTCCCCCCAGATGGGGATCAAGGCCGCTCCCTCCGGTTCTCGAGGGGCATATCCTCAACTGGGGTGCTGGGGTGGTGGGGATCGGGATGGGGACGGCGATGGGGACAGGGATCGGTTCACCGATACAGAGTTTTGAACATTCTCTGGTAGGCCTATAGGCAAGCTGTGGCGCCTCGCCGCTGCTTGATCCTAGCGCCGTGTGGCTGGCTAGAGGCATGCACACGTCGACGACGTCGTCGGTCTGGTGGCTTTTCGATGGGCGTCTCCGGGGGGCCCCGTAGCCACGGCTGGTCGCGGCCGAAAGACTGGGCCAGGATAAGAAAATCGTCGTCGACACCGTCGGTCGGGGCCCCGGTGGCTTCTGTGGCATTACTGGGTCGGGCTGGGCGAAAGGGGGGGATAGCAAAGGGGGGGGGTGATAATCAGCTCGCGTAGCTGATTCTCCCGGCACCTCCCGGCGCCGGAGGCGGCGATGTATCGAGGAATGGGCCTGGCGGCGGGGCCGAAACCAGCTGCATGCAGCAGATTTCGTAACCACCCCTTTCCCAATCCCCCCCTTTCGTCCGCCCTCGCCACCATGGCTGGACGCGGCTGGAGCAGCTGGCTGGGACAGACGGCAGGGGGGGGGCCCAGGAGCCAGCGCGGGACGGATCGAGGCCGAGGGCGGCGCGGCCTCTGAGAAAGGCCAGGGGGCCAGAAATGTTCTGAGCCTTCCCCGAAGACGCACAACAAAACGTAAGTCGGGCGTGTCCCCCTGCAGGGGGATTTTCGACGAAGAATTTGAAAAAGTACCCAAGAAATATTCCCAAGTGGTCAAAAACTTACAAAATTACTCCGACGGAAGAACCCCACATAAGAATCCTCTGGGCGAATCTGGAAAAAGCCATCACCGTCGTCCTCGTGGTTGGTGAGGCGCCCTGGCTGTCTCTTCTGCGTATATTTCCTCTCGCCTTGGCGCGGGCCCACCTTCCACTCCTTACGTTGTCCCCATCCTCGCCCCCCTGTTTGTTCCGCGCCCCGCCACCTCCTCCCCTTCCTGTTGCATGAGCGCGCATGTCGATGTTCCTCGGCGCCGTCGCCGCCACGGCCAGCACAGGCGCGTTCTCTACTGGTCACGTCGCGCAGCCGCTGGGACAACCCCGCGGGCCAGGCTGCCGGGACAACCCCGCGAGCCGCTGGCGCGCAAGACCAAGCCGTTGGGACAACCCCGCGGGCTTCGAGCGAGGCGCAGCCGCGCTCAGGCGGAAGGCAGCACGAAGCCCAGCTCTGCCGCGAGCTGCTTCGCCCCCGCCCTGGACAAAACCGCTCTCTTGTCGAACTCCAGGAGCGCCTTCCGCAGGGACGCCGGCGGCCCGCACTCCAGGAACTCTCGCGGCGGCGGCCGCAGGATCAGCATGTTACGCATGCACGTGGCGCGGGAGAACATGACGTAGAGGTGCAGCCACCACTGCTCGTCCGACATGCCCGTGCGGCCAGCGTCCTCGTCTCTCGCGCAGTCGATGGTGACGCCCTTGCGCAGCGTCTGGCCCTGCGACAGCGTGGAGGTCAGGTATGACGCGTGCGTCAGGGTGAACCCCGAGCGGCGCACGCTGTGCGCCCCCGAGCTCTGCCATGTGAACTCCCTTTCGCTGGGCCTGACCATCAGCAAGCTCCGCGCCCGCGCCTCGGCCTGGCCGTCGTCGTCGGCGCCTTCGGCGCCCTGTCGCAGCACCTCGGCGACCTGAGGAGCCCAAAAACTTCCTTGTTGCATCCAAAGTGTGGCCTGGGAACTGCGTTCTGCAGCGCGAGAACCCAACATTGACGACAGTTACAGGTTTTGGATGACCTGCTCGGATTACCAACATGATCTGCGGGCCCCATAGGGAGGGGGCTCCCGCCTGAGACTTCCAAGCAGTTCACTCACAGACGAGGCTCCCGCCTGAGACTTCCTCCATATTCAGGCTTGAGGAGCCCAAAAGTGACGACAGTTACAGGGTTCCGATGACCCGCTCGGATTACCAACATGATCTGCGGGCCCCATAGGGAGGGGGTTCCCGCCTGAGACTTCTTCACAATTCACTCAAAGACGAGGTTCCCGCCAGAGACTTCCTCCAAATTCAGGCTTGACGAGCCCAAAAGTGACGACAGTTACAAGGTTCCGATGACCCGCTCGGATTACCAACATGATCTGCGGGCCCCATAGGGAGGGGGCTCCCGCCTGAGACTTCCTCGCAGTTCACTCACAGACGAGGCTCCCGCCTGAGACTTCCTCCATATTCAGGCTTGACGAGCCCAAAAGTGACGACAGTTACAGGGTTCCGATGACCCGCTCGGATTACCAACATGATCTGCGGGCCCCATAGGGAGGGGGCTCCCGCCTGAGACTTCTTCACAATTCACTCAAAGACGAGGCTCCCGCCAGAGACTTCCTCCAAATTCAGGCTTGACGAGCCCAAAAGTGACGACAGTTACAGGGTTCCGATGACCCGCTCGGATTACCAACATGATCTGCGGGCCCCATAGGGAGGGGGTTCCCGCTTAAGCCTTCCTCAGAATTCACTCACAGACGAGGCTCCCGCCTGAGACTTCCTCCATATTCAGGCTTGAGGAGCCCAAAAGTGACGACAGTTACAGGGTTCCGATGACCCGCTCGGATTACCAACATAATCTGCGGGCCCCATAGGGAGGGAGCTCCCGCCTGAGACTTCCTCCCAATTCACTCACAGACGAGGCTCCCGCCTGAGACTTCCTCCATTTTCAGGCCTGGGGAGCCCAAAAGTGACGACAGTTACAGGGTTCCGATGACCCGCTCGGATTACCAACATGATCTGCGGGCCCCATAGGGAGGGGGCTCCCGCCTGAGACTTCCTCACACTTTACTCAACGATGATGAGGATGAGGATGATGAGTGGTGGTGAAGATGAGTGGTGAAGAGGATGATGATTGATTGTGGGTGGTGGTGGCGATGATGATGTTTGAATGAGGATGATGCCGATACCGATGATGACGATGATGTTCGTGAGCGTGTGAGAGAGTGCGAGTGATGATGATGTGTGTGTGAATGAGTGCGAGGAGCAGAAGAGGAGAGGGGGTGGGGTGAGTGTTCCTGCGCGGGGTGTGCAGAGAAAACAAGAACCCCACTTTGGATGTGGGGAAATAGTCCCCAGACTATTTTTGGACAAATTTTGAATAGTCCTCCTGTAGAGGGACGGGCCCGACCTAAGCCTTCCCCGAAGACACACGACAAAACTCTCAGAAGGCCGGGGAGGGTTTCTGAGAAGCCCCGCCGCCTTCTGTCAAGGCCTCCTCCTGCTCCCTTCCCCTCCTCGCTCGCCGCCGCATCCCGCCGTCCTGGCGCAGCCCCGCTGGAGTTTCTCAACACGCGGCCCCCCGAAGTCCCGAGACCCTTTCCCTGGAACGTTGCGCCGCCAGAATTTGACCATATCCACTGCTGCTGGGTCGTGTTGCGAGGACTCGGGGAGCGGCGGATATGGATATCTGCCCGCTCACGCGGGCGGGCAGATATCCATATCCACTGCTCCTCGAGATTCCAGGGCACGACTCCGAAGCGGTGGATGTGGACATATTCTGGCGGGGGAGGAACCGGCTTCTCATCCTGAGTCGTCTTTGCACGGTCCCGGGGCTCGGCGAAGGCCCCCGGAGGCCGCCAACGGACATATCGATCAATAAAAAGTTAAGACTACATATAACGACAAACGCCGCGAGCATGTCTGGTTCCTGGCGCAGCTTCTTCGAGTCGCCCGCCTCGTTCGTCGCGCACAGCTGGAAGACGCGCCGTGTGTCCGGGGCGCAGCGGGCGACCCCGGCGCACCACAGGCCGTCCTCCACGTGCGCGGGGCGCCCGTTGGGGCTGAAGGTCGGCAGCTCCCAATACGGGGACGCGATCTTCGGAGTGACCAGCTCCTTGTTAGAAGGAAAAGCAACACAAGGGCTCGCCATCGCTCGGACGTCGACATCCCGTGCGCTGTTCAGTTGCGTGCGTGTTTTCCCCTCGCAAGATGACCCAAAAGGCTCGTCGATGATCCCCGCCGAGAAAAATGCACACGCTCGAGAGATGCCAAGAGGATCGACCCAAGCAATGTTTTTCGTTTTCGTTTTGTCTTCGGTTTCCTTCGTTGTGTTTCCAATCGGCGTTTGTTGCGGAACAAAATCAAAACGACAACGGGCCACGAAATCGCTCGAAACACCTATCAAAGGCACCCCTGAAGCAGACACAGTCAGAATGAGGGGGCCGAACGGTCTTTCATTGTCCCTGGGCGCGTGGCTGAAATGGGCCTCCGCGGTGCGGATTGAATTCTCACTTCTGCAGAACAATTATTGTTGCTCCCTCCCTTTCCGGTAACCGTCGCATTTTCCGGGAGCGGCCAAGAGGGGGGTGTCCAAGAGGGGAGGGTGCAAATCATGAACGGCGGCACGTGCGCGGCCCAGCGGGGGGGCCAGGGACGTAATGAAACAAGAAGATATCATGGCCCCTGCCATGATATCCCCCCCCACTAGTCATCACCCCCCTCTTTGCCGCCCCCGAATTGTGTTAGAGTAAGGTGCTTCTCCCGGGGCTCGCACCCTGTTTTCGTACAAAGGATAAGCAAATATCTTCAAATTGGGCATCGGGCCCCCGGTTTGCAACAACAGCGGCTCCAGCCTGACACTTCCTCACGCTGTAATCTCAAATCGCGCCATCGATGGACGCCCTCACAATTTACGCAGGCATCGCACTCTCACGTGGGACCTCCTCGCAATTTACTCAGACGCCGCGCCCTCGACACTCAGGAATCACGCTCTCGCTATGTATTCCCTCACGATGTATTTCGGAATCGCACTATCGCTCGAGACTTCCTCGCGATTCATGCAGGACCCACGCTTCAGCAACCCGCCTGCTCGACCTGGTCGCCTGGGCCCGCCTTCCCGACCCGCCTGTTAGGGTCTGCCCGCCCGATCTGCTTGTCTGGTTCTGCCACGGTATTTCTGCTCCTAGCCCCCCTCCTGCTACTTTCTGTCTCATGCTCCATCCTCCTCCCTCCCTCTTGCAAATTCATGTCATCTTTCTTCTCTTCTACTGGCTTGGGGGCTGCACGAAACGTCACAAGTAAGAAAGATCTACCCACGAGGGGGCATTTCGAATACGAACAGGGCAGGTATCGAATAATTGGGGTCTACGTATTGGACGACACGCGGGCAGATAAGAGCGAACAGCATTACTTTGATTGTTGCTAATGTTGTTGCTGTTGTTGTTGTCGTTGTCACTGTTGTCGTCGTCGATGTTGTTGTATACTGGTTTTTTAAGAATGATCATTGCCGATCTCCGGAAACAGTTCCGCGCGCTCTCGCCTCGACGCTGGCTACATATTCTCTGAAAGCGAAGCTCCCGCTCGAGCGTTGGTTTGAGCCTAAATGTGGGCCTCGGAGGCCCTTACGACGACAACGGCTCCCGCTCGAAACTTCCTCACCACTTGCCGCGAGACGCCCTGGCCACACAGGTACCTGAACTCAGGAAAGGCGCTCTCGCACGAGACTTCCTCCCAATTCAATCAAGTTGGCGGAGGCCCAGCCACGACGACAAGGGCTCCTGCTCGATACGTCCTCACGGTTTACTCCGAGAGCCCGTGGCCAAGAAGGCCCCCGAACTTAGGAGCGGCGATCTCGCTCGAGACTTTCTCGTAATTCATTCAAGTTGGCCGGGAACGGCGCTTTCGCTCGAGATTTCCCCGCACTTCGGCCAGTGGCCGACAAGGAACATATCCCCCCGAAAGGGGGTGCAATCGAAGATGAAGTGGGCGGGTATCGAGGGTTGGGGTAGGCGGAATGCAAGACACGCGTGCCAGTAAAATCGACCAGTCCTAAACTGAGTGTTGTTGCTGCTGTTGTTGCTGTTGTGGTTGCTGTTGTGGTTGCTGTTGTGTTTGCTGTTGTCGCTGTCGTTGTCGTTATCGTTGTCGTTTTCGTTGCTGCTGTTGAACTCTCACTACTGAAGAATAATTGTTGCTGATCCCCCATCCAGTGACCATTGTGTTTTTAATTGAAGTGCTTCCCCCGGGGCTCGAACACATTTTTGGGAAACCAAAAACAACAGGACAATCACGGGGCTCAAACTGAGCCCCATATACCCGTTTACAACAACAGCGGCTCCTGCCCGATATCTCCTCACAATGTATTCCCAAATCGCGCTTTCGCGAGGGACTTCCTCACAATTCATGTACTCACGCATCGCGCTCTCGCGTGGGACTTGCTCGCAATCTATTCAGAGGATGCGCCCTCGGCGCTCAGGAATCACGCGCTCGCATTGACTTGTCTAACGATTCATGCAGGACCCACGCTTCAGCAACCCGCCTGCTCGACCTGGTCGCCTGGGCCCGCCTTCCCGACCTTCCCGACATGGGTCTCCCCACCCGATCTGCCCGTCTGGTTATACCACTTGTTTTCTGCTCCTTGCCCACTTCCTGCGAATTTCTTTCGTATTCCATTTTCCTCCCTCCCCCTTCCACCCATCATCTCTTCCCTTGTTTTATGGGCTGCATTAAATTGTGGACGCCCGAAATGGGTACGGAAAGAATGGGTACAATGCCCAACAACAAAAGTTGTCCCAAACCAACAGCGGCCGCTGTTGGGCGGGCGACCTTCTGTCTCAAATGGACACAGGCCGCGGCGGCGCGGACAGCGAGTCCTGTTCAAAATGAACTAGAACTGCTGTTGGGCATCGTACCCATTCTTTCCGTACCCATTTCGGGCGTCCAGATCAATGCACGTGGCAGGTAAGGAAGATATGCCAAGAAGGGCCCAAGGGGGTACGATCGAAGACGACGAGGGCGGGTACCGAGGGTTTGGGATATACGTATTGCTTGGCACGTTAGCAGATAGGAGCGAACAGACTTAAAATGATTATTGTTGTTGTTGTCGTTGTCGTTGTCGCTGTTGTTGTATATTGTTTTATTGTCGTTTGTTGTCGTCGTCGTCGTCCCGCCCACGAGCCGGCCCGCGACCCACCCCGCAATCCACCCGCGACCTACCCGCGACCAGCCCGCGACTCACCCGCGACCCACCTGCGACCCACCCCGCGGCCCACAAGCAACCCACCACCCGCAACGCACCCGCGACCACCCGCCCGCGACCCACACACGAACCAAACGCAACCTACCCGCAACCCACCCGCGACTCACACCGCGACCCACCCGCGACCCGCCCGCGACCCACCCCGCTCCCGCCCCCTCAGTCTTATCCGCAACTGGATTTGTTGGATCAGCGCTGGGCTGGCGCCTCTGGCGCCGCCCCTGGCTCGCCCAAGAAATTTGCGCGGACCTCCGAGATATTACGTGGATGCCTCTTCGTGCTTCTCGAGCCTTCAGTGTGCAGTCATTGACCTCGGCGTCTGGCACGCTTGGCGCGCGCCACTCCAGCTTCATCAGCCCCGGCGCGGGGAACGAGTGCGTCAGCCCAGATGGCGCCTCCGGGACGCCAAGGGTCTTCGCGGTGATCGGCTCGGACCAGGCGCCCTGGCCGACGCAATTGACGCTGCGCACGCGCACGCTGAACTCCGAGGCGATGGAGAGGCCGACCACGGTCGTGCGCCACAGGTGCCGGGCGCCCTGGCCGCTCGCCACCCTCCGCGGGGGCGGATCGAAGCTGACGCCGTCGCCCCACAGCTGGTCGAAGCTCATGCCGCTGGTGCAGCTCACCTCGCAGCTGTCCACCTCCACGCCGACGTTCTCCTCGACGCTCCTCGGGAGCGGCCAAGAGAGGGGTGTCCAAGAGGGCGGGGTGCAAGTCATGGCAGGCGGCAGGTGCGCGGCCCAGCAGGGGGAACAGGGACGTAATGAAATAAGAAGAGGCGCCATGAAATCTGGGGAAATATCAAATAGCATGGCCCCCGCCATGAGATCCCCCCCAACCTAGTCATCACCCCCCTCTTGGCCGCCCCCGAGCTCCACTCGAGGTGCAGGCGTCGGGCAGTGGACCCGACGCACCGCACGCCGCGGGGCACGTCGGGCACGCTGGAGGTCCTGCCCTCCGCCTCCGCCCACGCGCCGGCCCCGGCTGCGCTGCACCCCCGCACGCGCACGCGGTAGGCGCAGTTGCCCGAGAGCTCGTTGACCGTGGCCCGCCACCTGGTCTTAAGTCGGGCCTGCCCCTCTACACGGGGATGGTCAACGAAAAAAAAATGTTAAAAAGAATGCTCCAAAAGGGTAAAACAATGCGCAAAAAAATACCCAACAAAAATAGTCCCCAGACGATTCTTTTACTATTTTTGAATATCCCCCCTGTAAGGGGACACGCCAAACTTAAACCTGCAGGACCTGGTCCCGCCCGGGGCGTCGCCAGCCCGCGGCGACGCGGGCGCCGGGGGCTGCTCCACGGACGTGCTCAGCGCGCTCACGAGCTGCACGTCGCAGCCCGTCGTCGCAGCGCCATCCTGGTCACGGAGCCACCACTCGAACCGCATCGCCGAGGGGGAGGACCAGGTACACTCCAGCTGCACGGGCGCCTCCGGAGCGGCGGACGTGCTCGCCGTGATGGTCGCCGACCACGCGCCCTCGCCCGCCCTGCTGCGGCCTCTCACCCTGACCTCGTAGTCGCTGGCGGCGGAGAGGCCGCCGACAGTTGCCTCCCACTCGCCGTCCCCCAGGCGCTTCGGCTGGCCGTGGGGGAACTCGGCGGGACTCCAGCCGAACGTGCCTAGATAGGGGTCTCCCAGCTGGGGCCGGAGCATCTCGGCCGCATCGTCGATGCCTCACCGCTGCATCGGCGACGTCGGCGATGCCTCGGCGATGTCGACGTGGAATCAAAATTGCTCCACAATCGAGCCGCATCGCCGATGCATGGGCGATGCGGCGCGGTCCGCCGTGCCCACCTGCTCCGACCCCATCTGGGAGGCCCACACAACGAGGAGCAAGAGAGACTGCATAAACATAGGCATTCAGAACTCCCCCATTTCTCGGATCGGCGCTGGGCGCCCTGGGCGCAGTCTCAGGCGCCGCCTGGGGGGCCCAGCGCCGATCCGAGAAATCCGCGCGGACCTCCGCAAGTGGAGGAGGGAGGAGGGAGGAGGGAGCATCTCTGCGCAGATGTTTGTCTCTCCGAGTGCCCACGTACTCCACGTCGCAGCTCGTGACCTCGCGGCGGCGCGCGGCGCCCACGCGGCGGTGCCGCGAGGGGGGGGGGGGCCTTGAGAGGAACCGCTTTCTGAGAAGGCAGGGGCCTTCTTGGCAGAACCACGGGGCGCAAGAGGCCCAAAAGGAAAGCCGGGAGGGCTTCCAAGAAACCATTGGAACAGCCACGGGGCTTGTGAGCAGGCCCAGAGGAAGAGCCGGGAGGGAGGGCTTCCAAGAACCCCCCCCTGTCTTCTACGAGGCCCCATCCAGCCTTCTCAGAAGGCCGCCTCTCTCGTTGAGAACCCCGTGAAGCGGGGGCGCACGCTAACATGGATGAAGGACCCGTGGATCTCTGGCGCGTGGGCGCCAGAGCTACGGATCGTAGGAACAAGAGAAGGCGACACCAACACCACCAGGGCGAGGCGATGCGAGATGGCAAAGGGGGGTCTCCGATGGTGGTGTGCATCCCCCTCTCGCCCGAGACACCCGGCCTCCGGGAGGCACCGGGGACCTTCTCGCTGGAGGTGGAGGAGGAGGGAGGAGGAGGAGGAGGAGGAGGAGGAGGAGGAGGAGGAGGAGGAGGGAGGAGGGGAAGGAGGGAGGAGTAGGAGGAGGAGGAGGAGGAGGAGGAGGAGGAGGAGGAGCAGGAGGAGGGGGATGGGGAAAAGAAGGGTGGGCCCCCTGGTGGTGTTGGCATCGCTGGTGGTGCTGGCATCGCTCCTCCTCCCTCCGAGGATCGGGGCGCACCCCCCCCCCCCGAAACGTGGCGCGCCAGTGCCCGGCCGCACTCTGGCGACGGAGCGCGCCCATGTCGCAGGGAAGCGGGTTACCAGCCTGGAACATATCCCTACCCCTATGTTGGGCATCGCCTCATCACGATGGCGATCTTAGGGATTTCCTCAGTTTCCGAGGGTGTATCCCTAAGATTGTCAGCTTAGGGACAGGGATAGGGATACGTTCGAGGCTGGTAAGCGGGGCCCGACGCTAATCCACGCGACTTGTACCCCAGTCCAAGCTTGCACGGAGGGGGTCCTATAGCGGAGATTCCCCAATCAAGGCTTGCACGGAAGGGGTCCTGGCGGAGAATGAAAGAGAAGGCGAATGTTTCCCGCCGGTTTGGGTGGCCGGCTGGGTGCCCGGGTTCTCGGTTCCGGGTTCTGGGGTTCCTGGTTATTGGTTTTGGGCCGATTTCGGTGGGTTCCGGGTTCCCGGGTTCCCGGTCGATGTTCTTGTCGATCTCCTTATCGATCCCACGCTCCATCATCGATCTCATGATCGACCTCATCAAACCATCCCCTGATTGGGGTTTTTCCCTGGTGTAAAATTCAATGTTTAGCGCTTCCTCGGTTGTGCTCTCGGGCCGGGCGAAAGGGGGGGATAGCAAAGGGGGGGGGTGAGAATCTGCTCACGTGGCTGACTTTCCTGGCGCCTCCTGGCGCCGGGGGGCGCCCATGCATCGAGTGGGCCTGCGGCGGGGCCGAAACCAGCTGCATGCAGCAGAATTCGTACCCCCCCCCCTTACCCTATCCCCCCTTTCGATCGGCCCGAGACCCCGAGCCCGAACATCCCCACCGACTCCTCCGAGGTTGCGTGGAGGAGGAGGCGGAGGGGAGGAGGCGGAGGAGGAGGAGGAGGAAGAGGAGGAGGAGGAGGAGGAGGAGGAGGAGAGAGAAGAAGAAGAAGAAGAAGGGAGGAGGACGAGGAGGAGGAGAGAGGAGGAGGAGGAGGAGGAGGATGAGAAGGAAGGAGGAGAAGGAGGAGGAGGAGGAGGAGGAGGAGGTCTGATGCTCGCCGCCCAGACCTCCTCCCCCTCGGGGTCGGCCAGCGCCCACCGCAGCAAGAGGCCGTCGGGCCGCCGCCCGACGCACGCCACGCCCGACGGCCTCGCCGGCGGGTCGGCCGTGGCCACGTCGGCCCGGGCCCAAGGGCCTCGGCGGCGCGCGGGGGGGGGGTGCGGGGTGGAGGCTGGGGCAGAGGAGGAGGAGGCGGAGGAGGAGGAGGGGGAGGAGGAGGAGGAGGAGGAGGAGGAGGAGGAGGAGGAGGAGGAGGGGATGATGATGACGATGCGGAGGAGGAGGGTTGAGGAGGATGAGGGAGGAGAGGGGATGATGACGATGTGGAGGAGGAGGGTGAGAGGAGGAGGAGGAGGAGGAGAGGGGGAGGAGTAGGAGGAGGAGGAGGAAGGGGAGAAGGAGGAGGAGGAGGAGGAGGAGGAGGAGGAGGAGGGGGGAGTCCGTAAGGGTTCGGTGCTCGTGCTGGGAGGAACCTTCCTGGAGCCGCTGGCTCGACTAAGTGCGTCGATGCTGCAAAAAGCGCGCGGAGGGTGGTCGGGGCGAAGGCCGGGCCGGGACGAGAGGGAGAGTCAGTAAGGGTTCGATGCTCGTGCTGTGAACCTTTCTGGGACCGCTCGCTGCACTAAGTGCGTCGATGCTGCAAGGACTGACCGTCGAAGATCAGTCGACCTAGAGTCGGACCAAAGGGGGGGTACAGGAGCAAGGGGAGCGTCACCACCACCAGCACGAGGAGCCAGGGGCGTCCTCCTGGCGATGCGGCCTCTCCCCCCGCTCGAGACATCCACCATCGCCAGCTCGGGGAGACATCGTAGACCTCCTCGGTGGATCCGGCGCACATGTTTCTGGGAGTGTCGTTGTTTCTTACCTCCGAGGTAAGTCGCAGCCTGATTGCATGCACATGAAGATGACGATGATGCGGCTGCTGATGATGATGATGACGACGAAGGTGATGATGATACTGATGATGGTTATGATGCTGCTGATGATGATGACGGTGATTAAGATGTTGTTGATGATGATGATGATGATGATGATGATGTTGATGATGACGATGATGACGATGATGATGAGGTTTATACATCGTATAACAGAGTGACGGGGGCGAACGGTCATTCACTTTACCTTGGTGCGTCTGAAGGGGGGTTCGCGGTGCGGATTGTGGTTGCATTGTTGTTGTTGCGTTGCTGTCATCGTCCTCGCCCGCGACCCGCCCGCGAGCCACACGAGACACACCCCTCAACCACCCCGCGACCACCCCGCGACTCATCCCGCGACCCACCCTGCGACCCACCCGCGATTTGACGAAAACATCGGCGCCTGCGGCGGGCTGTTTGTGCAATGTGCTGAAAATAGGCGCTGGCTGCGGGCTTCTTCAGCTCCTCGCAGACTGCCGACGACCCCGCCACCCCCTCGTTCTTATCCGTATCGGCAGGATGCTACGTATGGTGAGGGCATTGGATAAGGAACAATGCAATAATGAATCCAGGGTTTGGAAGCTGGTGGAACTGCAATCGTAGATTGGCCATGGATACCGGCGCCGCCTTCAACAGATGAGGAAACCTTCAAGGTCTGAAGCCTCGTGGACACGTTGCCTAACCAACGCTCTCCATCGTATAGATGTGCGCACATATGTGTAGCACCCCGCAGTTGCGGATAAGAGTGAGACGGCGGGCACGGGGTGAGTCGCGGGCGGGTCGCGGGCGGGTCGCGGGTGAGTCGCGGGCGGGTCGCGCGGTGGGTTGAGGGCGGGTTGTGCGGTGGGTCGCGGGTGGAACGCGGGCGGGTCGCGGGCGGGTCGCCGGTTGGGTTGCGGGTGGGTCGTGGGTGGGTCGCGGGTGGGAAGCGGGTGGGAAGCGAGGCGGGTCGCGGGTGGGTCGTGGGCCCGGTCGCGGACGGGGCGGCGACAACAAGGAACAAGAAACAACTACAGACAACAACAAACAACAGGCCATAACAACAACATCATCAACAACAACAACAATCTGCACCGCGGAAGCCCACTTCAGCCAGGCGCCCAGGGACAATGAATGACCGTTTGGTCCCCTCACTCTGATGTAGCCGCGAAGGGTCTTTGGAACCCCCCCAATAGGAGGTAACTAATTATTTACTCGACGGCCCCCTTGAAGGACTGGGGTTCCACTGATAGGGGGTAACTAATTCTTTTGTTTTCCGCGGCACCCGCCGCGCATCAACGACGACGACAGCTACGACAACGAGGACGAGGCGGAGGAGGAGGAGGAGGAGGAGGAGGAGGAGGAGCAGGAAGAGGAGGAGTAAGAGAAGGAGGAGGAGGAGGAGGAGATAAACCTTTAGTTAGTGCAACGCCAAGAAAGAGGAGAAGGACGAGAGGGAGGTGGGGGGAGGAGGCGGAAGAGCAGGTTGTAGGACCAGTCCAATTCGCCGCCGGGTGCAAAGGGGGGGGCAAAACAAGAGACCCTTCTAGGGGTTCGGGGGGGGGGCAAGCCGGCTCACGCAGCTGGTCTCCCCGGCGCCCCCACTCGGCACCGCAGAGGGCGCCCGGCGGCGGGGGCGCGAGACCCGCCTCCTGCAGCACAGAT